GTAAAGGAGTGTGCATGAGTCTTTGGGGGCCAGGGGCAGAATGTTATGGTTTGGATCTAGCTGTCTCTCCAAGCCTCATGTGGTCATAGAATTGATCTAGGTTGTGTGAAGCTGTAACCGACTCACGATGCAATGCTAGGCTCAAGGGCACTAGGATTAAGGGTGTGAGTAAGCCCTTAGTAGTCTGAATAAAATCAAAGGGGCAGGGACACTGTTAACTCTCATGGCCTTTGCTGCCTTGTGTGAACCGTGTTGTTTTTGTTCTGCTGCTTGTTTGACATCCCAGCCTGGAGCCAGCAGATTATGGGCTGAAACCTCTATGAATTGTAAGCCAAATAAACCCCTTCCTCTCTAAAAAAAAAAGAAAGAAAGAAAGAAAGAAAAATTACTGTCAGAGCCCCTGTCTGCTTGCTTGTGTTTTGGCCCTTTCCTACTCCCACCCACAAAGCTGCAGACAAAGTGGTCCTTTAAGAGCATAAATAACACCATGTCATTGTTCGGTTTCAATCCTCCAATGGGCCTCTCATGATTAAACCAGCGTCAGACGTCCTCAGCACAACCTGTGTGGTCTTTGTGATCCGGCCCTGCCGCCTGCTCCTCCCTCACTTTCCAGCAGCTCTAGCCTTGCTGTTTTCACACCACTGAGCATGTGCCAGACTCAGCCTTGCCCTTGCTTTCTCCTCTGCCTGGAATGCTGTCCCCCAGATATTTGCAAGGCTCACTCCCTCACTTCCTTCAGAATTCTCTTTAAATGCCACCTCCTCAGAGGGGACTTTCTGGACCTCTCTGTTACTTTCCACCCACATATCCTGCTTCATTTTTCTGTGTAGCACTGACTACAATCTACATTTTTTGTAATATCTGTCTTCTGCAGTGGAATATAAGCTACATACTGGAGTCTCCATTTTTGCCTATCCCACTTTGCTCAGTGACTAGATAAGGGCCAACTTCTAAATAAATATTTGTTGAATGAATGAATGTGGAGTTTTTCTCTCTAGAAAACATTTCCTCTGTCTTTGCCTTTAGTTCTCCATCCTCATTCACTTTGCTCTTTGCCTCCACACCTGTCTCTTGACCAGCATGCAGCTAAACGTTTTTCTTCCTCCATCTCTGACACTTCATGGACTCCCTAAGTATAAATGTACCCAAAGATTTGCTCTCCAGATTATCTACTTTCTTCCCTCTCTGCCACCTTCCCTATCTTTTTTGTTTTTTGGGGTTTTTTTTTGAGGGGTTGTTTTTTGGTTTTTTGAGACAGGGTCTCACTCTGTAGTTGAGACTGACCTGGAACTCACTACGTAACCAAGGCTGGTCTTGAACTCACAGCGATCCTCCTGCCTCAGCCTCCTGAGTGCTGGGATTACAGGTGTGTGCCACCACGCCCAGCCACCTTCCCTATCTTTATCTTTTACTCTGTCAATGATACTCTCATATTGGCTTTTGGCCTTGTCTTCTCTCTGAACTTGCCTTCTATACCTCCTGGGCATTCTGATAGCACCATCTATCTCAGTTACTTGTCTATGTCTAATAATGGCACCATAATTTTACTGGCTCCCAAGTTAGAAGTTTAGAGTCATTTTTTTCATTCCTCCTTCAGACTCCCTTTCTATTAGTCATCAAGTTCCTAATGAATCTTCTTTCTAAATCATTCTCACTTTTCTCCCACAGTTTCTGTTCTCACAGCCATGACCGCGGTCCAACCTCTCTCTACCTGCTAGGTCATAACCAGCCTGGCCTCTCTCCTTGTGTGTAGGCTCCTCTTAAGGATACCATCCCCTGTGTGTCTACTTTCAGGAACTTCACCAGGCTGCTAGTCAGCTAACCTAGCCTCACTGGTGCCTATGCCTTTCCAATGCAGGTCTAGGTCCGTGCTAGCTCCTGCACTTGCGAGGCAGGCAGTGGAACCCCTGAGCTAAATGCCCAACCCAGCTCCCATTTTTTACAGGTGCCATAGTTTGTGGTTCTATTATAAGACAACCAAGGCTGGGTAATTTATAAAGTACAGAAATATGTTTCTCACAGTTCTGGATGTTACAATGGCCTAGATCAAGGTAATGGCAGGCTTGGCATCTGATGAGGGCCTCTGCCCCCTGAGGGAATAAATACTGTGTATTTGCATTGCTGAGGACAGAATAGTAAAGGACTAAGAGAACTTCCTTCAACCTCTTTTATAAAGTTGTAATTCCATTTAGGTGGGACCTTTCCTGATAATCACCTCCTAAAGACTCAGCTCTTTATCTCTTACTGGTAATTCAGTTTCTTTCTTTCTTTCTTTTTGAGACTGAGTTTCACTATGTAGCCCAGGCTGGCCTTGAACTCGAGGTGATCCTCCTGGCTTAGTACCCAGAGTGCTGGGATTACAGGTGTGTGCCACCATGTCCAGCTGGTAATTAATTTCAGCACAAGAGTTTGGGGGAACACACTCAGATGATAGCGCCAGGCAATGAAATCTGAATCACCTTTTTTGTTACGGTGGATAAACTTAGCCAAAGTGAACCCCTCTGAATGTGCACTAGATTCTATTGCTGTTCATCTATTCAAGGACACCACTTCACTATTCTTTGTTTTGCATCATCCATTTTTCTCTTTCTACTAGATTTTTGCATAATTATAGATCTTTCTCATTGGCCTAAAAAAACAGAATAAACACATGTGCCTTGATTCTCTGTTCTATTTTTCTTCTTTCATTTATTTATTTATTTTGATTTTTTGAGACAAGGTCTCACTATGTAGCTGAGACTGACCTGGAACTCACTATATAGCCCAGGCTGGTCTCGAACTCACAGCGATCCTCCTGCCTCAGCCTCCCAAGTGCTGGGATTACAGGCGTGCGCCACCAAACCCAGCTTTCTTATTTCTTTTATAGCAAAAGTCCATAAAGGAGCTGTCCATGTTTGTTGCTTCTAATTCCTCTCCCTCCTCCTAGGGCAAACTCTCACCAGGCTCCTGCTCCCTTCCCTACATCTTTCTTCCTCTTGTCACAACTTCCGGGCTGCCTGTAATCCCAGCACTCAGGAGGCTGAGGCAGAAAGATTGCCACAAGTTTGAGGCCAGGCGGGGCTACATAGTGACACCCAGTTTCAAAAGAAAAATAAAATCTCCAGACTCTGCCTATACTACTCAATCCAGGCGTCAGTTCTTTGTCGTTGTTTCACGCGGCCCATAAACAACATTAACAGAGTTGAGCATCTAGATTCCATGATATCGCCTTCTTTGTCTCCTACCTTTCTCTCGTTTCCTCTGTTGTCTTTGCAGGTTCTTTCTCATGTCTGCAACATCTAGCTATTGAAGTATTCCCGGTCTTAGTCCTTGATCCTTTTCTCATTTCTATTTAAATTAACTTTCTTGGTGCTCCAATCTAATCACACAGCTCTAAATGCTAGCCCAACACTGATGATATATATATAAAATTTGGACCCTCCACTGAACTCCTGAGGCCTGCCTAGTCAGACTGGGAAGATCTGTCCACTAAGACCAGGTGCAGTCAGACAACCCAGGCAAACACAAAATCATGGACGTACAAGTTCTTAATTTATATTTGCAAATTCTGGCTACTTGTCTTCATGTTGGCCCCATAAAGACTCAGAAATTAAACTTCTAGATTAGATAAGTGGCATATGGATGCTAAAAGACCCTAGCAACCCCTGCTCTGATCCAGGGACATTAGCCTGCCCCCCGCCTTGTGCATGTCTACCAGGGGCATTAGAAAACAAGGAGGCATATGAGGTTCAACAGAGCAAACACTATTTCCATTTTATTAACTTTCTATCATATTTAGAGTCTTATTCCTATCTAACTGTTGCTTTGCAAGATATATCCAATCTCACCAGGTGTGGTGGCGCATGCCTGTAATCCCAGCATTTGAGAGGCTGAGGCAGGAGGATCGCTGTGAGTTCGAGACCAGCATGGGCTACATAGTGAGTTCCAGGTCAGTCTCAGCTACATAGTGAGACCCTGTCTCATCAAACAAACAAACAAACAAACAATCCAATCTTCTGTGTGACATTATAAGCTTCCTGGGGTTTTAATTTAATTTTTTAGTTATATCTTACTATATTAATCCTTTTTTTTTCACTCCTCTTTACTCATACTTCCTAGGGCTTCGTGCAGTGTCTTGCACATTGTAGGTACTCATTTGGATACATGAGCTAATGTCCAGATGCCAGTCAAAAGGAAATCATTATGAAGGGTGGCCTAGCTTCAATCAGGCCTCTCAGCCAGGTAGGTCAGCATCCCCTCTGAACTGTTTTGAGGATTCTCCCACTTGACTTTGCTCAGACATAACTCACCCTCCACTCCCTAATACTGAGCTACTTAAAGTGTGACGGGAGCGCCAGTCCATGGGCAGTTATTAGAGGTCTGTGGGAAGGTAAGTGCAGCAACAAAGCAAGCCTTGAGAACTATTTTTCTTTTTTGCAAGAACACCAAAGCGAGTCCGTATTTTAACAGGGCCTGTGCCGCTGCTCACTACAGGAGGGAGCCGTCCTGGACTAAAACCTGACAAGTGCTGGACGAGTGGAGCTTCCACAGCAGCCTGTTGCCCTTAGACCCAAGCACATGATAATATTTGTAGCAATTCGTTTTTACTATGTTTTACCAAGGTAAGTGGGCTGTGATGAACTGAAAACTGATTAGAAAACAAAAACAAACAAATGTGGTTGTTTTCTGGGACAGTAAGAAGCACTGCTTCAAAGAGTTTGTTTTGATTTTTTTCCCTTTCCCTCTCTCCACTTCTTTTTTGGCCAGCATCAGACTCATTTGTTTATCTTATAAGTCCTTATAAAGTTGATCATCACACATACAGATTAATAGACTAACAGGCCAAAAACATACAAAACACACATGACAATTATACTAAAACAAGGTACACTTTTAGATACATTGTCCGTGCTGAATTACAGTAGTTTTTCTTTTTAAATTTATTTTTAAAATCAACTATCAAAACACAAAGAGAAGGGCTGAGGATTAGCTCAGTGGTTCCGCTGCCTGTCTGGCAAGCGCAAGGTCCGGAGTTTGATCCCAGAAAAAAACAAGAACAAAAAACAAAATATGCACGCACAAGAGCGTGCACGAAGAGAAAACTGGTCATCAATGGTCATGAACAGATGTTAATCACGAAAATAAATGAAACAAGAGCAAACGGATTAAATTCTAGCTAGAAATCTGGCCCAAATTCTATGTCATCGCACCTGTTAAAATGATACTGGGCCAGGTATGGTGGCGCATGACAGCACGCAGGAGGCTGAGCCAGGAGGATGGCTAAGGAGTTTGAAGACCTCCTCGGCTACATCACGAGCTTAAGGCCAGCCTGAACTATTATATAACAAGACGCTGCCTGAAAAGAACAAAACAAAAATCGTGATATTAATGCTATTGGCCACTTAGGCCCATATACCTAGTTGCTGACCAATTTGGAAGAGGCCATTTATTTAGGTGAAACGAAAACAAGGTTGTATTCAAAGCTAGCTCCAAGGAGACAGAAACACTCCATTTTCCTCAAATCACCATCTGTCTGTGTCCAGGTACATAAAGGTCTTCTATAGAAAGAAACAGAGAGAGGAGAAGAAATACAATGAGACAATAGAAGACTCCAATCTTGCTTCATCCCTCCAGGCCTTCTCCTCCCACCTTTCCCTGTAGAAATGAAACTGGACCCATACCTCCAGGTGCCAGCATCTGCATATTCTATCTATTCATCTGGCTGAAGACTGCAAGTGGGTGATGATTATCCCTGAGCTCAAGGAAGTTTGGAAAAGCTGCTTGTCTCTAAAGCAAAAAATTCTAGCATGTGAAGTTCCATTTTGCCGGGCTGGTTACACTAATAGTAATAATAACAGGTGAGAATTACAAAGGTGTTAAAGATCAGTAGCTCCAGAATAAAACAGAATCTTCTTTGGTATAATCAAAAGGAAAGAGAATTAGAGCGGTAGTAACTTTCCCTCCTGTGTGATCCCATGGCATTTCTTGCCCTGTCAGTGTGTAATGTAAAACCATCTCATAGGAGCAGCTGTGATGACCCAGTTTATGAAAACACTGACAGCGTTTCTGAGCAGAGGATGCAAAGAAATATTTCTTATATTAAAAAACTGACATTTTCAGAGGCTGTAGGACAAGACTTTAAAGAGTCTGTTTCAAATGTTGATCAAGCTCTTATTTTTATCCTTTTCTCTAGAAAGGTAATGAATAGGTCCACAGAAGCAAGAATCTACATAGATTGCTTCCCATTTGCAATGAAAAAGAGTAAGAAGAAGGCATTTGCAAATGTATTGCAAGGCATTTCTATTCCACAGGCTGCCTCTGCCCTAGTGGTAGGGAATTGGCCTAAGAGAATGAATGCAAGGGGCTTTTGACAGGGCCTCGATTTCCCAAAGACCCTGGAAGTTCAAGTATCAGAGCACCAACAACTGAATGGGTTTACTTAGCAGGTCCCACCAGGAAAGGTCGGTTTTTGAGGCTGTGGGGTGAGGGTGGAGGGTTGGGATTTGGCCAGAAGCAAGGAAGATGAGCGACTGGTTGTCCTAGAGCTGGAGTGGCCACAGGACAGTCCAGGTATCCCTGAGAGCACTGCTAGGGCCCCGAGGTTGAGAGGGTAGGGAGGACATCACTTCCAAATGGAATCGGGCGGTTTGCTCCCCTTCAGTGCTTCTCCCCAGCCCTTCCTCTGCCTGGGAGCAGGCCGGAGGCATTTCCTGTCTCGAGTTATTTCTCTCTTTCTCCAGAAGCTCAGCGGGTAGGGCTGACAGCACCCCAGGGGACTCCTGTTTCCTCAGTCTCCGGGGAGCTGCCTCCTGAATGAAAGGATCTAAAAAGAGAAACACACACAGAAAGAGAAACACGCGCGCGCGCGCGCGCACACACACACACACACACACACACACACACACACACACACACACACACACGCCTGCGCTGCTGTTCTCTCTCAGGCTCCACAGTACTTTCTGCTCTCGGCTCCCACGCTCCACAGCCCCAATATCCTTTGGGAGATTTTCCTCTCCTTCCTCATTCCCCTGCCTCTGCTACTGTTGCCTCTTGGCTCCTTGATTTTAGTAATAATGGAAATTAAAACGAAAGCACACATGGGGGCGCGCTTTGAGGGGACACAATGATACAGGGCTTCACCCACAAAGGCAAGAGTTCAGCTTTTACGGAACAGTTGGTGGGCTGGGGTCCAGCTGATCATTATCTCAGTGCTGGTGTCATAGTTCTGGAATCTTTACTGCTGAGGGATGGTTTCATTCCCAAGAAAGGATTGCCTCTATGGTGGTCTCAGTCATGTGGAGCTCTGCATTTCTGGAATCCAAGTGATCACAGGTTTGGCTCCAGGGTTCTGGGTGTAGCTCAATGTCCCTGTAAACCTCTTATCTTGGTGTTTTCAGTCTTAAAAGGAGATGACATTGTGTAAATTTAGGCCTAATCAACCCTGTCCAGCCTCTTGCTAGATAGACTCTTTCCAAATGATCAACATACCCCTATGCAGAATTGAGAAGAGATTTAACCCAAGATTTTCAGTAACAAAGGACAGAAAATGAAGGTCAAACTTTGTTCTACTTTTACTTACCAATATTGGGCATCTCTAGGCCCAAGCAAATAGTCACAGCTCATAGCAATTGGCTTTGAAAGTCTCTGGCTATCCCAGAAGAAAACATCATACTTTTAATGAGTAACAGGCAAGGGCCAGGACTCCCCTTGTTCCCCATCCCCACGGAGGCCCTGACTATTCCACAACTGCATTATTACCTCCCCAGCGTACACATAAGCACACATACCCATTTTTGCATGCACACACATCCATTTGTGCACACCTACAGTTGTGTGCAGTTTCTACACTGTTGCTTCTGGGGTTGGGAAAGCCACTCACAAGAGGAGTACCTACATTTCTGCCTCAATTTCACACGGAAAAACTAAGGAAGCTCTTTTTCAGAGGTCCTGAAGAGCATCTAACTTTCTTCCTGTCTCACACTCACCCTGCCCCAAGCCCATTCCCATCTATCAGTGAGCCTGTAATTCATGAAGGACTAGTGTCAAAGCCTAACTTTCCTCTGTCGAGACAACCAAGAAAAGTTATGGCTCCACTCCTCACCACCAGTCCAGTTTTGGAGACCACGCGTGGCTTTTCTGTTTTGCAGTTAATGAGACAGATATAATGCTAAGGGTAAGGCACTACAGGGTGTTCAGATGTGAGGATACTTAGGATGAATTTGTTTTAAACAGTACTTTAATTACATTTCGAAACATCCTAGTCAGTGTTTTCCCTTCAATTCCCAGGCCCATTTACAGATCAAATATCTCTAAATACAGTGCAGTGGGTCTAATTTTTAACCTGAACGAAGTAGAGTAAAAACACCACAGGGATGCAGAAGTCTTGAAGCACAGATAAAATCGTGCATTTATACTATTTTCAGATTAACAACTAAACCCACTGTTCTTTGTTGTTTGTTTTTAGTACTGGGGATCGAACCAGGGTCCTCTTTGTGCTTGCAGGCAGCGGCACCACTGAGCTACATCTCCAGCCCCCCTTTGTTGTTTGTTCCTGTGTTTGGGCATTAGGATTGAGTCCAGGGCCTAGTGCCTCCTAAGCAAGTGTTTTACCACTAAGCTACATCCCCCAGCCTCATTTTATAAATTTAACTAAACTTTTTGCTGTACTGGGGATCAAGCCCAGGGCCTCATGCGTGCCAGGCAAGTGCTCTACCACTGAGTCACGCTCTACCTTTATAAATTTTATTTTAAGACAGGGTCTTACAAAATTGCCCAAACTGACCTCCAATTTGGTATCCTCCTGCCTCAGCTTCCTAAATGACTGAGATTACAGGTGTGCATCACCAAATCCCACTCTAAATACATTGATTTAAATGTAGATATGCCTCACCTGAAATGTGGTTAAAAACAAAAATAGATTGTTTTTAAAAATGTAAGTACCAGCTGGGTATGGTGGTGCACGCCTGTAATCCCAGGACTCGGGAGGCTGAGGCAGGAGGATCACTGTGAGTTCAAGACCAACCTGGGCTACACAGTGAGTTCCAGGTCAGTCTCAACTACATAATGAAACCCTGTCTCAAAAAACCAAAATTTTACAATATCAGTTTCTTCTATGTCTTCTGATTTTTTGATGCCCTCCTGTATAATGTCCTGTATTTAAATTTAACATGTGGACACTATGATTAGCATGTATTCCTTTGTAGTCATTCAACTTTATTGGACTACTATAAAAGCTGCTTATTTACACACAAAGCCTCCAACAAGAAAGACCAACTGCAATCCAGAATGTTTCTAATAATAAATTTATCTGAAGATTCCAAAAATGAATGTTTGTAGGTTTTGTATTTTATTTATTTATGTCACATACCTGGCCCAGTTTTGCATTTTAATGGAATCTTAGAGCCCACAATGATAGAAGCAGAAAAGAAAAGGGATGGGTGCCCTATTTCTTTTTACTCCAAAAATAGAATTTTTATTACATAAATATTCTGTGTTCTCAATAAATCTAAATCAATGGGGGAAAATCTTGCCTACAATTTTATCGCCTCATCAGGTCAAACTTTTCATTTAACTCTGCTTGTGCATTCTTCTGACTTCAGTTACTACTACCTGAAAGCATGTTTCATAAGGCTATGTAGTTCTTATACTTTAGATTTTAATAGTTGTCATTTTAATTATTTTCTTGTCTTGCATTTACTACATAATCTTAAAACTAAATAACAGTACAGTATAATTTTGCTGGCCTCCCCTGCCTGACATTTGTTAAGAATAATAACTGCCCAAGGCAGTTTTCATTTCACATAGTAACTGGGAACTCTCAGGGCCCTGTCCACAGCTTCCAGTCTTTTCCTTCAGAGATACATCCAATGCCTTCAGCACACCCCTAACATGCAAGGTCAAGCTCAGGGTCTGCTTTCAAGAAAACAAAGGCTTAAAGATATGACCTTGGGGCCAGGGATTTAGTTCAGTGGTTCCACCACCTGCCTCGCAAGCTCAAGTTCTGAGTTCAATCCCCAGTACAAAGCACACACACACACACACACACACACACACACACACACGCACACCAAAGATCATGACCTTTGCTGAACATAGTGGTGCACACCTATAATTCGAGCACTTGGGAGCTGGAGAATCCATAGGCATTTGAGGCCAGCCTGAATTAGAGCAAGACCCTATTTCAAAAAAACAAACACAAAAAAATTGTGACCATTAACTCATATGAACTTGTTCTTGTTACCATATGGTTCTATATAAGGAGTAACATCAGCACCTTAAAATGATAACAATTTCACTGAAAAAGAAAAAGATATAAAATAGAAACATTTAAGGAGTCAAGTGCTCCTTTAATCAGTGTAAATAGTTCTCACTAGTGAGGTTGAACTCCTTCCTGTGTGTTTACTGGTTATTTCTTCTTGCATAAGGTATCTGTTTCTTTCCCCAGCTCATTTATATACCATAGATTTTTCTTTTTGAGACAGAGTAGCTCAGCTGGCCTCAAACTTGTGTCTTCCTGCCTTAACTTCCCGAGTGCTGGGATTACAGGCATGTGACACCATGCCTGACTGTATACCACAGATTTTTAAGCCTTTCTGTATATGCTAATAGTATTCTCCAGATTCTTTTCCTTTTTTTATATAATCCTAAAGTTATGTTAATGAGTTATACCACCTCCAGTTCTCATAGAATAGTTTTGAAAACTTTGGTGATCGGTTTTATTTCAAAGGGAAGACACAAATCACTTATTATATGTTTCTAGAGATAACAATAGAAAATTGTCAAGTGTTGAGTTTTTATCACATGCCAAGCATAAATGATGGAACTATTTTTTTCAAT